CACACACACACACACACACACACACACACACACACACATACTGTGTACTTGCATCAAACTGAGGACTTTGTATTGACTTTGACTGATGATGCGTATGGAGTACAATGACAATTTTGACTTCCATTCATTTTTGTAACTGCATTTATGTCTATGCTTACCCAGACATTTCCCCTAAAACTAACCATTCCTAATCTTAACCTTAACCAAAACTAATTCTTATTTACATTCTTCTAAACCTAACTAGTAGAGTACAGTAGAGATTAAAAACAAGTGAGGACCGGGAAAAGGTCCTGAATTCCCAAAAATGACCTCACTTAAGGGGTAAAAAAGGGTAAAAAAGTAACACGGTCCTCACTCTGTAGCAGAAACAAGTCCACACACACACACACACACACACACACACATTTCACTTCCGGCAGAGTGACTTTTTTCTTTTGCTGACTTTACATTTAAATGAGAGGAAGGGATTATCCTAATGTCTGACGCTTACGGCACAAGTGTGGTACACATTCTTCTGCAATGTGCAGAATTGGACAGAGGAGGATCATTTTGTTACCATGGCGACAGACGGCCAAATGCAAGCACAGTGGGGTAAATCTCGAGTCAAAACATTGGGTGTGTGCGTTTTAGGATGCTCACACACACACACACACACACACACACACACACACACACACACACAGCCCAGCCTTATCTCCACCTTGGCTCTCCCTCCTTTCCTTGCACTGATCTTTCTCTCTCCATCTTTTCTTTCTCTCGGGCAGAGGGATGGAGCAGAAAGTGGCGTGTAATTACATCCTAATCTTTGGCTGGTATCTGCTCTGCTACAGGGGCTGCTGGTACAGTGAGCTGTCAGGGACACACTAACACACAGAAACTCACAAATCTCTCTTGATTTTGTCCAGAAGACGCCACCAGACAATCAGAAGTTGCCTGGCTGTGTTTCTGTGCAAATCCCCCTCCGCTTGACTCACAGATGAAACGATTCTAAAAGACAGACGGGCGACTGATTTTTCTTGAGCATATATCTGTTATTTGGTTTTGACATAGACTAGATTGGCTTTAACCTCATGAAGTGAAACCCTGATAAAGTCTCAGCATTAAAGCTTAATATATCAAATTTCAAAAGCTTGCTATCGTTTTTTTATAGGTCTTAAAGTATGGCTGGTTCTGAACTGTTCCAAGAATTTCAGAGTCATCTGAAAGCAGGGAGGTCATTTAACAAAGTACAGTCATAGAAAAATAAGTTCAGGTCTAGGATTAAATGTGTTAAGAATTAAAAAAAAAAACTTGTCTATCCCTTGTTCTAAAAGTATTTAAATATAATTTCATTACATGAAAAAATGACTGATTGCTAATTGTTGTTTCCATAGGATTTAAGAAGGAAAGTATCAGCCAGGTATTGTTAGTGACATGTACGTGATTAACTGATCATAAAGTGTGAACACCTAAAAAGATCTGAGTTTTAGCAGTTTGCTGCTTTAGAGCAAGAATGTCAAACTCAGTTGCACAAGTAAGCCAATAACACATTCAGTGGAGTTTCGAATCGGGTATTGGTATCAGCAGTCTTGTATAAAGTACCTCAAAGTGATACTTGAGTAAACATACAAATATCTTATCATAAAAATACTTTGGTAAAAGTTAAAGTCTTCTCTAATAATATTACTTGAGTAAAAGTCATACATACAGCGGGTAAAATAAGTATTGAACACGTCACCATTTTTCTCAGTAAATATATTACTAGAGGTGCTAATGACATGAAATTTTCACC